GTAGACTTTGCATTTTCTGTTTAGTCTGATATTTATGCCTATTCTGTATCATGGTACAAAAGTTGTATTAAGTGAATTCAGTTTTCATGGTTGCAAATTTATTGGCACAGTCTTGTAAACCACTCCTTAGTGGTTCCAAAATTCCTTTTTGATGTGCAAGTCTCATTGTGCCTTAGGGAAGCACAGAAAAGAGCATGAAAATACTTGATTCATTAATAAGTAGCTGCCGGAGGCTCATGTTATAGGTCAACTGCGTATAGGAAGAACCGGTATCTTAGTTGAGAAACAAAAATGCTGTGAAAGGGGGAAGACATATAAGGATGAACAGGAGGATGCAAAGCTAGAAGTAATGAAGCCAGGGAAATCACTCAAAAAAAAAAAAATCTTTCCAGATTCATGTTGAATGGATCTGAACAGTGCAAGAAAGGTTTTTGAGAACCACAAAGAAACAATAATATGGTGAGATGGGAGAATTTGGCTGGGCTGATTGATGGGAAAGACCCTACCTTTGACATGTTACACAGAAGAAAACCGAACAAAGTGTGATTCAGAGTTTGGAGGTGAGCAGCATGGAGAATTCAGAGCAGACCAGGCATGGGTTATGGACCTCAGCTAGGAAGAAATTGTATTCTCTACCTTGATAAAGAGAAAAGATAAGAGAATATAATGGGAGCATTATTAGTCATTATAACCATGTTGAGAATGAACAAGGGCAAATTTTCCTTGTGAAAAACTCAGGGTGAGGGCTATCTGGAACAAAATGGAATCTGGACTGGAGAAGTTAATTTGTGAGCTGTCCACTAATAAAATGTATGTTTCCATGAGAGACAAGACAGGGAGGAGGAATAGAGGGAGATGAGAAATGGGTCAAATACAAAGTCTTACAGCATAGCTAGGTTGTGGGTGAGGAGTCTCTTGCAAAGATGTGATGATTGAAGGGATAAGATGATAAATGTAACAGCTGCAGTAGCCATGAGGGACTAGATTTCACAGAATGTTCAGCAGTGCCCAGTCACTGTCCTGTCAGAGAAAATGCACACGTTGTGAAGTTGTGCGAGCTGTGTTGTTGAAGTTGTGCAAGTGTTGTAAAGTTGTGCGACTCTGTGAGACTTTCCACAGAGTTTGGAGATCAGAAAAAAAGATTGGACAGTGCTTAGGAGAAAACTGAAGACACTTCCAAACAACATCTACAGACTGTATGCTCAGGATTGTTTCAGAGATGATTATGATCATTTCAAGGAGAAATAAAGAATTGGCAGGCATGGTACTAACCATCTTTATTTCCACAGAAAAATCATGCATAATTTTTTTCTGACTTTTAGAAATGTGATCCATAGTAATAACTTTCCAGAAATGCTGTCTTTTTTTTTTTTTTTTCTCCAGTACTGATGACTTTTGCACCTCAATTTCACATTACATATAGACATAGGACAATTCTTTGTTCTTGTGAAAAATTTATGGGTTTGGGCCAAGACATTTCCGAGAATGTTCTGAGCATCTCTAGAAAACGCTGATAAATGCAGAATCTACAGCATAGCACATGCTCCAAACCCAACTAATTCAAGAGAAGTTCTGTATATGGTATCGTTCAGCTACAGGACAATGCAACTGCAGCATGGAAAGTCACTAGCAGACTAACAGAGATACATATATTACCCAATATGGCGGAACCAAAGGATGAAAAAAGACTTCTAAATTTCAGTAAGATTAAGGAAGACAAAAAATGCACAAAATTTTACAAGTCCAAGGCATTAGAAGAGTTTAAAAATTTTGAATGCCTTAGAATTTGGAAAGGTCATCATAAGCTACGAAACTTAAAGAACTAAGTCTCTTCCCTATGATAAGCTAAACATGGATACAGAATTTCTTTATTTAATATGTTTCTTTTCAGTCTTTCAAAGACCACAAAAAAAAAAAAAAAAAAAAAAAAAAAAAAAAGAAAAACCCTAGCAATTAAAAGAGAAGACTAAAGACTAGTTAAAACCCGTTGATTCTGAACTAGCAGTGTGAAATATTAGGTTTAATAACTATGGTTTGGAGTCCATAGTGTCATAGTTTAGTGTCATTGGTAATGCAGCTCTATTCTCCTCTCTTTGGTCTGTCTAGCCCACACTGCCTTTCTGATTTCTACCACTTCGTGGAACTCTTCACATTTCCTTCCCTTTTTGACTAATGCAAGACTAGTGAGCAGCATTCACCTGTGTAGCTCACAGCATCAATGTAGGTCCAGTTAAAAAACAAAGAAACAAAAAACAGAGAATGAGAAGCAAGAATGAAAAAAAAAAAAAGTAGCTGAAAAAAACAGCTATTGGGAAGTACCCCCAGTTTGACATGCTAAACAGAAAGATCCAGAAGCTGTCTCTCAAAGCTTGCAAAGGAAGATGGAAACATCCAGAGCACAAAATTAGTCTTGGTTGGAAGATTTCCTTCTTCCCTATGATCAAGAAGGTGAGGTAAGTGACAGGGCTCTGATTACCCTTAATGGCTCTGACCTGCCTCACCTGCGGTCACACACCCTGCCGAGGCCCCAGGTGAGGCTGGTCAGGACCATTAAAGTCTGTCAGCGCACTCAAGAGCGGCAGGATCAGGATCAGTTGCCTTTCAGGTATTTAACCTTCCCCTCTTCAGTTTTTCTATAAGTGGTGATAGCTTCCTTACAGAGGAAGAAAGGAGGAAACCATTAGGGTTATCGTATCTGGTAACTTGAGGTTAACAGTCATTATAGGAAGTTAACTTCAGGTACTCTGATGAATACTAAGTATTTAACAGCCTGGATTTTTTTCTAACCCATCCACAATGCTTATCAGAGTTTTTGGCTTAGGTGGGTTGCTTTCCCTTCCTTAAGTCCTCCCATGTTAACTTCTATTGGGAGTTAGTTTCCATAGGATATCCACACTTAAAGCACCAACCTTCTTCAATTCACCATATCCATCTGGGACATTTTTTCACAGTCCATGATAATTTCACGAGGATTTGAAGCATTCAGAGCAAAGTATAAGAACAGGAAAAGAGCTCAGTGCTCTCAGACCTTCTTTGCTGGGATAGCTGCAGCTGCTATGACTGTGATCAAGAGCGCCACACAGGGGTATTGGCAACGTAAGAGCAGCTTTGCCTGCAGCTAGGCTCTACGCCTGCTCTATCCCTCTGCAGGATGGCTTTCTCCATGCCTCTCTCTGCTTTACTAACACATGGCTCTCAACATCTGCAGACCAGACTCCTGTGCAGCCATGCTGCGAGTTCCCTACAAAGAGCTGCTGCCCACAGTTGCAGTTCACTTGTCATACTGCCAGTTCTCCTGCAGTTCGGGGGCTCTGCCTTACACCTTGGGAGCCCTCTCCAGCCCAACTATCTGCGTTTCGGCAGACGGAACCAACCTACCCTCATCCTTGCCTTTGTGTTTCCTTGGCTGTGATTCAGCCTAGTGTGCCAGTTTCATTAAAGACACTCCGCTCCCTACAAATTTAAATGTCCAAGACTTCAGCGATCTTGTTAAATCTTGGAAAAGTAAAAACATTCCACATTGAAAGCAGTCAAAGGTGAAACTTGTTTCCGAAACTTATGAGCCTGTTCTCATTTGTTTAATACCTTGGAATCTGGTTCCTGCCAATGCTTTCTCCAGGCCTTTATTTTACTTTTCATTTTACATGAAACTATTTACAGACTAAAAAACTTTGAATTGTCATGGATACAGGCAGACAACAAGGCATAACCAAGGAGGGGAAAGGGGTCACAGAAAATATACATAAAAGATAATTCAGGGATGTTCTCTGATGATCTCTTCAACCCCCTCCTAGTCCCTCTGGCTGAACATTCCCACCACTGAAGGGGAGTTTTGCTAGAGCCAATGAAGTGACTAGATTTGGTAGCGTCTCCTGCACATCCTTAGAGCTCAGCCACCAGGACATCCATCACCTGCTGCTAGGTGCATCCATCCATCTGCTACCCAGGTTGATTGCCACCGTAAATTACAATGACCACATCTGATGACACGCTCATGTTTAGGGTAGATCTTCGAGCAGCTCGTTGTGGGTGCGGAATGTCTTGTCTCTGGCTGACACCTGTCCCACATTATTACTCTTCCAACAGTTGACCCTATCTTCAAGGTTCCCAGGATGGTTATTTCTGCCACCTTGCTGTGATTATTAACCGGTTTTAGCCGCTTCCCGCTCAAATCAGGCCTATGCTCCATTTTCCAAAACGACTCCTGGTTCTTTTTTATTATTATTATTTCCCTTTTTTCACGTGCACCCCTAGGCGCGCCGGGGGCCCCACCGAAACGCACCGCGCCGCGGCCCGCAGGGGGCAACGGCGCCGCACGCGCGCGGCCCCTCCGCGCCGCCGCTAACGGCGCACGGCGCGCGCCGCCCTCGGCCCGCCCGCCGCGGGGCGGGGCGCGGCTCTCTGGGCAGCCGCTTCCTAGAGACCTCGCTTTGCGCAGCGCGCCTGCGCCGCTCGCCGCCGCGCAGGCGCACTGGGGCCGCGGAGAGGGTCCGGAGTGCAATTGCGGTGGCCGTTGCCGGCTCCGCGCGCCGTTGGCTGCGGCGCGGCGGGGATGCGCCTCGGCGCGGCCCCTGCCCGC